ACGCAACCGAAATCACCGTGTGCAACCAGCAACGTTACACATCACATGACGACTACAGGACCACCCTTATTCTCCAAAGCACGACGACTAGCCCCAGAAAAGCAAAGGTTGGCGGAAAACGAGTTCAACCACATGATAGACTTAGGAATCACACAGCCGTCAAGCGGCCCATGGACATCTCTGTTGCACATGGCCCCCAAAACGGACATCACCGATTGGTGTCCAACTGGTGATTATCGGCGATTTGATGCGCAAACCATTCCCGATCGTTACCCATTGCCTCACATTCATGATTTGACAGCTAACTTGAAAAGTAGAACTGTCTTTTCGAAAATCGACTTGGTTAAAGCGTATAACCAACTTCACATAGTATATTTGAATAGAAAGTCATTTAAGCAGGGTTTGTTATCAATGATATATGGAATGACTCATACTATCCATGAAGCAATTTGTAAGGCCCTTTACTTTGTCGTCATTTAGATCGGACGATTTTTGTTGACGGGCTCTCAAAGTTAGTGTCCCAAGATCTGACTCCAAGTAGATCATATGAATGTTTGTTATCGCCTATCCTCGTATGTAATCATCAACTTGAATAGCGTTAGTCAATAACAGTTTTAGATAAGCTGAATAACGATAATGGAGTTGTGAATACATATATTTCTGTATATAAAGCGAATGGAATAGAGAGAAGAGAAACGACGCAGAATGGAGAAGGGTGATAAGCCAACTTCCATTTAACCAAGCGTTAGTCAATACTTATAGTTACATAAAAGTAAGTTACAGACATGTGTTGAGCAATGGGATAAGAAATGTATGCACACCTACACTCTCGTATAAAAAGAGTCATGACTGATAAGCGAATAAATATAAAGGACAGAATGTGACCCAAATAAAATGAATAGAATGGGCTGTCCGAAACCTAGAATAAGGTATGTAGGCTTAACATAATAACCGACACTACAAATTGATCCATTAATTAAGCAGGTCAGGTTTGGAACTAAAGTGAGCAATTACAAACAAAATCTGTAACAGTCGATTTTGATCACCCGTAGCCAACCGAGTTTTGACAATTGATGGTCTAATTAAGGGAGATCCATTAAGATGTTTATTCATCTCACAGCCTCGTTCGCCACATACAATGCACTGTGAAAATATAACATATCCAATTGCTTGGCTTCTAACTCAAACAAGTGCATGTGAATTCGAAAGATTTTGCAATACTGAATTTCGCATATCCAGGGGTTTACCACAAAGTATGCTTGATGATAGATAGATGAAATTGAACTCTGCTGATCAAAATTTACATCCCAATTGACATGTAAAAATGCACAAGTATATCCATATTTTACTCTGGAATCCAGGAACATCTGAAGGAGGCTTACTTCAAACATTTTCAAATCATTAAGAATGAGAAAATGTACACTACCAATGTAAAGGAATTAAGATAAAATTGTGAATCAATAGGAAATGGAGAATTAGAAGAATTTGTTGACAAATGATAAAGTCGATATATCCTGACGAATCTTTTTATATAACCTGGTAATCACAAAACTAAAGATCACATGATTGTTGGATCTTTGTAAAATTATCAAGTGGTTCAAATGGTTGTGGACAGAATGGGAGAAGCTTTCGCTTAACGGGCTTCCGTGTCTAGTAGCAGTGGATCACCAATACCTACAGGCAGGAACCTAGGTTTATTAACGATAATACAGGAAACAAAAAAGGGGGAAAATCATTATAAGATATTATCTTTAGCCCTTAAGAATAGATCAAGTTTCTTCTTGAAGGACTCCTAGGAAGTCGCTTGGACTAGTTCAGTCGGCAGCGAATTCCAGCAACTGACAACTTTTAAGCAGTATAAGTTGTGTCTACAGTCCATTCTGCTATGCTGTATCTCCAATTTCTGGGTGTTACCCCTTAGGTTTGTATTTGGATTAAGCTTAAGTATATGTTAAAAGGGATGTCTAGAAGTGGTAAGGATACTGTAAGCCATTAAGTCACCTCTAAGACGTCTATACTTTAGTGGGTATAGGTTAAGTGATTAAAGGCGCTCTTCATAAGGTTTGAATTTCAGTCCCTGAACAGATTTCGTGGCTCGCCGTTGGATACGCTCCAGGGTGTACTTATCCTTTTTGAGTGAGGGAGAAAATATTGTTTCCGTACACTAAATGGGGACGAATAAAACTGAAGATTACGTGGAAAGTTCTTCCGTCAAACTTACCAAAAATCCGCTTCAATGATACCAGTGAAAGGTTTGTTCGAAAGGCATTTTTGTCACAGTTAGCGTAAGACTTTAAATCGTAGGGCACCAGGACTCTTAAATCTTTTTCGACTTGGGACACTACTAAAGAGGAGTGTCGAGGATGGACTACTTTACACTTTGAAGTGTTAAAGGTAAGTCTGTTATCGTCAGCCCAACTTTGAAGTCGAGTCAGATCCTCCTGAATTGTCTGTGTATCCTCTTGGTTGCGTATCTCTCTCCAAAGTTTCTCGTCATCAGCAAAAAGTAATAAGTCAGACGATACGTGTTGTGGAAGATCATTTATATAAATCAATAAGGGAAGAATTCCTAGTACTGAGTCCTAGGGGACCCCACTAGGACATTGCGTAGCCTGAGATAATGTGAAGTTAACTCTGACCTGGCTCAGTGGTTCAGTAGGTTAAGCGTTCGCATGCGAGACTGAAGGCCCTGTGTTCGAATACGAGAGGGATCGTGAATGAGAACTGCTGTGGAGTCTCACAATAGGACGAGACGGCCATCAACTGCTTCCAGGTTTGACTGGTTGGTCGGTCGACGCGGTTGGATTGATCGAAGATGAATGGAATAAGTTTAAAGCTACATTCGAGTCCGTAACGTCGCCGTTTATCCCATGATCAGCATGTAAGCTATCACATTGCCATCCACCGATTATGGAAACTTGGAAGCTGTTAAAGCGTAGGAAACATTTCTGGGACTTATTCTTGTTGACACGTCATGCATCATTTAAGCGTGAATACCGAAAATTCCGGAATATCTGTAAGAAAACCATAGCCAAATCCCGTACTACTTACGAACGACAGTTAAAATATGATCGCCGTACTTGTCCGAAACGATTGTTTTCGTATGTTAAACGACGAATGAAACGTAGTGGTGGTATTCCTCTGTTACTGCTACACGAAAATTCAGATTTACTGGCTGAATCAGATCGGACAAAAGCTGACTTTGTCAAACTATTTTAGCGAAGTCTACTCCACGTTTATTGTAACAACTCCTTGTCCCAATCACACCGAGATACCAGCCATCGAATCTGTACAGGTGACTGAGGAGACTGTCCTTCCGTTGATAACTAACCTCAAGCCTGGTAAGATACCGGGCCCTGACGGGTTGCATCCACGATTACTGTCATCTCTTGCGGACATTATTTCAAAACCACTCGCGACACTCTTCAACATGTCCCTTTCACTCACTCAACACTCTAGAGACTGGAAGGACGCTATAGCCAGTTCTATATTTAAGGATGGTCAGAGACAGATAGTATCTAACTACTGGCCTGTCAGTCTAACTAGCATAGTCGTTAAGTTACTCGAAAAGATAATTCGGGTTAGTTTGCTAAGCCACCTAGATTCACAAAATCTGTTAGCTCATGAGCAACACGGATTTCGTAACAAGCGTTCATGCTTGACTAACTTGTTTATTGCGAGGGAGGATTGGACAACAGCCCTAGATAACGGTCAGTCTGTCGATGTGATCTTCATAGATTTTAGCAAAGCATTTGATAAGATTTCACACTTAGGTCTTATGCAGAAGCTCACGAGCTTCGGAATAATAGGTACTGTACACGAGTGGATAGTACATTTCTTATGTGACCTCAAACAGAGAGTGAGGGTCAATGGAACGCTATCCGATTGGAAGCCGGTCAAAAGTGGTGTACTCAAAGGCACCATCTTAGGCCCTTTGCTCTTCCTTCTCAACGTTAATGATTTACCGCTGTTACTTGGGTCGTCGACATTATTGTTTGCGGATGATGTAAAAATCTGGAGAACAATAAAAAGTGCGGCTGATCATCTGGATCTTCAAGCTGACTTAGATGATTTAGTTAGATGGGCTGGAGAGTGGGGCTTAGAAATCAATACTAGGAAGAGTTTGCTAATGTACATCGGTCACGGGGATAGTTACCGTTATACTATTGAGGGTAAACCTCTTCCATGTGCTCAAGAACATAAAAACTTGGGAGTAGTAATAAATCATGATTTAAAAACAACTACGCATTGCGAAGCAGACGATGTCAAAAGTTTTCGTGCGTTATAGTCACTTCGCTTAGCGTTCAAATCCTTTGATGAGGAAGCGTTTCGAAACTTATATCCCATATATGTAAGACCACATTTAGAGTACTGTATCCAAGCAGCTAGCCCGTGTCTGGTAAAGGATACTAACTTCCTTGAGGGTGTCCAGCGTGTAGGAACAAAATTAGTGAAGGGTCTTTCAAAACTCCCTTACGGTGAGCGTTTAAAACGCCTAAACCTTTTCCCCTTGTCGTATCGTAGGATACGAGGTGACCTTATACTGACATTTCGTATCTTTAATTATGATTCGAGTGTTCATATATCTTATATTTTTGCCCCCTCTAGCAATAATAATCTCCGAGGTTATAGCAAGAAGGTTCATAAACCACGATCTAATAAACATAAAGTGGGATCCCGTTTTTCTCATCGGGTAGTCAATGATTGGAACTCCTTACCCGAACAAGTGGTATCAGCCCCATCAGTGAATATTTTCAAAGAGAAGCTGGATCTTCATTGGAAGGCAATGTGTCAGGATTAACACAGGTTCACCAACTTACTATCCTTATTACTGAAGACAGAAAATGTCGATTTTCCAGATATGAAATGAGTCAGTAAATGATCTTATCATTTTGTGCTTCCTTCAAGTGTATAAAGAAAATAATGGACACCCTACCTCTATGTAATCCCTTACCTTGACAGAAGTCCACGTGATAATCCTCGTCCTTGAGGTAGTAGCTATTGAACTGAGGGTCAAATTCAATTATGTCCGAAACATAAGGTAACGTGCTCTTCGTCTTCTAGTAGCCATATTCTGTATCAAAATAGAGCGCTTTATATTGCTAGTGGATTACTGACTGTTTCTTCAGGTTATTCAAGGATGTTTCATCACTTAAATGACACTTCGAAGAACTTCGCTATTGATTCCATTCTTCACGGTGGCAATGAAAAATCAAATGTAGTCTGATATCTATTAGAAATAGCTAAGTTTTTGCTGTCGATATTATTGAGATTTCGGCTCTGGAGCTGTTGGTTCCACGTATTCGGGCTTACTGACTGACCATGTATTTGTAATGGTTGCTTCTAAGTTTAGTATATTGTTCTAAGTAGTGTTTGTTTTCTCAGCTCTTCCAAATATTTGGCCAGCTTTTAAAAAGCAAACATATTGGCTTCCACTGCGTGATAATCTAATCCATACCAGGCTGAGAGTATCAAGATTCATACAACGGTTCTGTAATGTGTATTTCTGTTTGACTTCCATTGTTTATGCGTACTCACTATTTCATTGTCGATATGTTCACCATCGTTTTTGTTTGACAGTCCCTTATTCTTCTATCTGTAAAGAAATGATGACTCCTCGGTTTAATGTTCACCAAGTACTCGTGCTCATTATTGGACAAGCATTTATGCAGTTTGCTGATTCATAGGAATGAACTATCAGCTTCATAGTATTGATATGTCTTGCATAGATTCTTGAGGAATATTTTCACTGGATGAAACAAATATTCATTTGGAAATTTACTTATAAACTACTTGTATTTACTTATTCAAACACATTAGTGCAGGCATGCAATAAATAGATATGCGCCACATAAATCATCCGATTTGTGCGAGGGATGGGATACTGCCAGGGTACCAAAGTAGATGGTTTTGTCAGACGGGCCACGCCCCGAGCCTTTGACCTACAGGTTTAATCCACAAGGCAGTAGAACAACATAAGGAGTCGCAGTCTCATGGTAACTGGTGACCAACAATTGGTTCATACGCCATTTGTTTCTTTAGGATCCTGGAGCCCATGTTCACCATTGGTTTGGAATCAGTTATCCAACTCCCCTAGGTGTGTCCTCCATATCCACTAAACCGGTTAAATCCCTGGAGTTTTAGTTTTGAAAGGACAAGCGATTTGATGGTGTGTTAGTCCTGGCAATAGTGATCTTTCAGTTGATCCAACTTTCTTTTAAAAGTGTGGACGGATGGAGCCTCAACCACGTGCTGAAGTAATGAATTCCACTCGTTGATGATTTGATAGCCAGCTGACAAGTAATTTGTTCTGGGCTTGTGAACATTTTGGAGTGTCCTTGTGAATTTTGTTTTGGAAGACAAGAAAAATGAGGGCATATCAGGTGGAAATTTATCACTAAGCAATTTGAAAACTGTAATCAAGTCGCCTCTAGTTCTACGATATGACAACGGGAATAGGTTTAGCTTGGTCAGTCGAGCATCATACGGTAGCTTCGCTATTCTGAGAATCAGCTCAGTTACTGTTCTCTGAACCTTTTCCAAAAGCCCCCTTTTTTTAAGCAGGGGCTAGCCGCTTGTATACAGTACTCAAGTTTAGGACGTACAAACACTGTATACAAAGTCAAAAACGTTTTAGCGTCGACATGACTAAAAGCTCTACTTATTGACCATTAGGTTCTAAAACCTTTGGCGGCTATTGTACGGTAGTGTGTAGTAGTCTTTAAGTCTTGACTAACGATGACTCTAAAGTCATTATGTGTCCGGACAAGAGGTAGCTCAGTGTTATTCATCGTGTATGTACCTGTACCTTGATGACCGATATGCATCACAACACACTTGGAAGTATTTATCGGCGACTGCCAGGTTTGAGACCATTCAGATAATTTCTTCAGGTCATTTTGGAGTTCTAAGCTATCACCCTTACATCGTTCTGTTCTCTATATTTTGACATCGTCAGCATATAGCAAGACCGATGATGATAGGAGACGAGGAAGGTCATTTACATACAAGAGGAATAGCACTGACCCCAAAATTGTACCCTGGGGCACTCTACTAAGCACAATTTCCAAGCTAGATAACTGAGTTTACCTGTGCTCTTTGTTGGCGCCCAACTAGCAAGTGTTTTATACACATCAATAGATTGCCTCCAATTCCGACATTTCTTAGCTCATATAACAACCGGTTATGTAGAACTCTGTCAAAAGCTTTGCTGAAATCAATGTAGGCTACGTCTACAGGTAACTTTTGGTCCTTAAGTGCGCACCAGCTTTCACGAGCGACTAATAAGTTAGTGAGACAAGAATAACGTATTCTGAAACCGTGATGCTTCTCTGAAAGCATCCGGTTTTCATTGAGGTAATTAAACAGCTTTTTTCGGAATAATCTTTTCTAATATTTTAACAACCACACTAGTTGTGCTAACGGATCAGTAATTCTCAGGTTTATTTTTCGTATCTGTTTTGAAGACAAGACTTACTATGGCGTTCTTCCAGTCTTTTGGTAAAAGATCCTGGGTTATGGATAGATTAAAGCATATACTTAAAGGGTTCGCGACGAAGTTAGGTAATTCCTTTAGTAGCCTAGGATGCAATTCATCGGGCCCCGTGGATTTACCTATGTCAAGCTTCTTTAGTAGACCAAAGACATCGAGTTCTTTGATTGTCACGCCATCTAGTGTATATGTGGGGGGATTTGTATGCGCTGACGAGAAGGGTGCTTCTATGGTATTTACATTGCTAAAGTAGTTTGAGAACACTTGAGCCTTACCAAAGTCATCCTCCACTAATGATGCGGTAGTACTGTCTCTCCATAGTGCAGGAATATTTCCTCTTCTTTTTGTCCTTTGGTTTATATAGGAATACAAGTGTTTAGGACATTCCATGGATTTTTTAACAACTTTTTTCTTTGTACAACCTTCTAGACTTACGGAGGGTCGAGGCACAGGTATTCCGAGCTTTTCGAAACTGAGATTTTGTCTCATCAGTCCCCACTAACCTAAATCTATCACACATTTTTCTTCTCTTACGGAGAAGGATGCGAACCTCCATACTGAACAGTGGTGAAGAATTTCTCGGCCCCCTTGGTATAGTCCAAGGGATTTGGGGTGCGGTAACTTTTAAGTATAAATTTCGAAATGCGTCCCATTCGCTTTTCGTTCTCTCGATTTCGTGAAAAAATCACCCCCCCTCCGCGAAAAGGCGGTGGGTAGGACTCTCCTGGCAGTTGTTGTTATTCACGTGGCCATGTGAGCGCATTTCTAGAGTGAGGGCTGACTCACTACTCTCAGCTGTACAGGGGCATTCGGGGGTAAACTAATTGTAATGTAGATCATTTGTTCCCTTCTGGTTTTCAATCTCTTTAACAAATTCAGCACTCTATATTTGATGATCAAATTATACTGAGAAAAATCTTAGCTAGGTTACCAGATCACTTGCTTTGTTCTATTTGTCTGTAAGTTCTTGTCGCGCTGCGTTCTAAACTTTTTCCTCGGGGGTTCAGAAGTAATGAACTTTTTCGCCCATGTTCTGATGGTTACGACTCGCCATTTTTTGTGATTTTTCTTTATTCTGCGTGTTTACGGGAAGTTTTGTTTCCTGATCGCTTCTAAAATTTCATCTAACAATTGTCATTTTCCCATTTTCATTCTTTTAAATTTTCGACTTAGATAACCAAATCTATGGCTGAGAACAACGAAACATATCTTCACAATGATTGTGTTTCTGAAATCAAGAAAATATTTTCAGATGTCCACTTGTCAGAGTTGGATGACGATGCACTAGTCAATAATTTGTTGGAACGGTATGTTCCCATATTATTTGAACTTTGCGTCCAGATCTGTTTCCGTCTTACAAGTGATCGACCATGCCATGTCCCATTTTGTTGCTGTAAATTTTATCGGCGGATCGGTTGACGAGTCTTATGAGCTTGATGGATGTTGCCAGTTGGCATTGGAAGATCTGTGCTGTGAAGGCGAATATCCTTTCAAACTTACTAAGTCACTTACTTTGCTTTGGTTGTGTAAGCGGTTATGCAGGACAATGTGCACGGTTTCTCAAACTCTTGTATGTTAGGTGTCTCCTCCAACCATGTTTTTGTTTCAGTCATTCCTGTATCATTTGAATTATTTAAAATGCATTTATTTACATCAATACCTGATTGGTGATGAAAGGTCACCCAAACTAAAAAGTGAATTCCAAGATATTATCAACGTGTGTAAGTAATTTGGATATCTAATGAAGTCACTTACTAGGTGAGGAATGCCTTGATTCTACCCACACTACTGAGGACGTAATTCAATACTTGATGTTATCATCATATCTGAGTGCTTTTTATTATGAATATGAGGCTTCGAAAACATTCGCTTCAAGATGTGCTCAGTATTTAAATATTGACGTAAAATTTTGTGGTAAACCTATCACTGATATATTTCACAAAATCAACAGGTGTCTTAGGTAAATGTACCAGATTCCAGGAAAAGGAGGTAGCAAATCTCACAGTTAAAGTTAACAGAGTAGTTGAAAGTAAAGACAACAAAACTTCAGGTAACTTTCCATTGCCGCAGGTAATTGTATTTTACATTATTATATATTTTCTTAAGATAATTCCTCTTAGTGACGATGTACTTCTCAACAGTGTAATATTTAGTACAATAGAGGAACAAAGTATTCTCTCTAATACTGAACAGTCTTTCATTTTATTATTGTGGTAAGGTGGTTTTATAACTTGTATGTAAATCTGGCTAGTGAACTTCATCGTCGTCACTATCCACGAGATGATTTAACAGAACAGCAGTGTTTAGCTTACATCAATACAGTTATCCGGGCTGTTTACCCGGATTCTGAAAATGAAATCAAAAGTAGTTCTTCTTGGTCTATTGCCACAGAAGCGTTGTTTAGAAGAAGTTTACTGGAACATAATTCTGTTAGAAAAACTGAACGTGCATTATCTCAGTTAGAGGTAAGAATTCTATTGTATATTCGACTAGAATGTTTTGATTGACTTATTTTAGGAGTTAAGCTGTCAGTTTAAAAGAACTAGCCCATCGTTTTCTGAGAGATCTCCCAGTAGCTTCTTTCTTTCCAGAATGCCGTCTATTTGGACTCTCCAAGTAAGTGACTTATAAGCACTTAACTGTATCTACTCCATTTAATCTTTTTCACGCATACAAAGGCAGCTTGTATAGATTTATAGGAATCAATCTCAAAAGTTTTAAATTGTTTTTATTTAACAAGTTACGACAATAATTAACTAAATTTTTATGCTTGACTGAAAAGATGTATTGGGCTGAACTGTAATGATTGTTGAGGTAAGTAATATCAACACTATCACGCTTATGTTTTTATTTGTATACAGCATATGATGTTTTAGCTAGTGCGTAGTTTGTCTTAGACATGCTTTTATCAACGTGGCTGCAAACGATTTTTTAGCTTAAAAGTATCCACAATTTCTTTTAATATTATTAACTGTCTCCGCTCTGCAGTCATGCTAGGGTACATTTATTACACACTATTTATTTTATGATTGCATTTTGTACTACAAAACGGCGAGATATGATTTTTCAAGATGTTGAAAGACTTAATTTTCAAGATTTGTGTTATATAACTACTTTGATCATTTTGCGTCAATGTTATGTCCAGCCGCTTGTCTTTTTCGTAATAAGCCTTTACGACAAAAATTGTCGTATTGGTTAATTAAGTTGGGTTGTTCAAATATCTTGGAACCAATACTTAGACACGATATCGAAAATTATTTGATGGTAGTTTAATACTTTGCGTAGTCGTTTTTTAGAATTGCTGAGTTACTTTGACTTTAGATGGAAGAGAAGTTGTAGTTGAATTATAATTGTTTTTCATATATACCAAATTCATTAAATTATGATTCATAAAAAATGATGTGACTTTATCATGATGACTTGAGGTTCAAACACTTCCTGAGGTATGAAATTCTTACAAAACGGAAGTTTAAGGCTTCATATTGATTTTCTCAAACTGTTCGTTCATGAAATAATTTAGAAAATTGTAGAAAAGCCCAATTTGTTTGTTTTTAACGAATCACTTTATCACAAGTTATATTATTTTGTTATTGGTTTATGTATGTACTACATTTTGAGTGAACTAGTACTTACCTACTTACTTACGCCTGTTACTCCTCGTATAGGAGCATAGACTGCCCATCATCATTCTCCATCCAACTCTGTCCTGGCAATCCTTTCCAGTTGCTTCTAGTCCTTTTAATATCTGCTCCCAGTTCTCAGTGCAGTTTTTTTGTCCTTCTTCTTTTCCGTTTCCTTTCAGGATTCCGAAATAGCGCTTACCTCGTGATGCAGTTTGATTTCCGCAACGTATGTCCTATCCTCTCTCAACGTCTTCCCCTAATTTCCTCTTCAGATGGAAGCTTGTTTGTTCTCTTACATAGTAGGTTGTTGGTGATAGTATCTGACCAACAGAAGTTGTGTATCTTGAGTAGACAATCGTTTATAAACACTTGTACACTTTTGATGATTAGTGTAGTAGTTACCCAAGTTTCAGCTGTATTGATGTTCTTATTGAGAATTCTGACTTTGATATTGGTTGACAGTTGTTTTGAGTTCCATATGTTCGTCAGCTGTAAGAATGCTGTCCTTGCCTTACCAATCCTCGCCTTCACATCTGTATCTGGTTCTCCTTGTTCATCGATGATGCTGTCCAGGTACGTGAAAGTTTCCACCTCTTCCAGAGTTTCTCCATCAAGTGTGATCGGATTGGTGTTCTCTGCGTTGTATTTGAGGATCTTGGTCTTCCCTTTGCTTATGTTGAGGCCTACTGATGCAGAGGCTGCTGCTACACTGGTTGTCTTGACCTGCATTTGTTTGTGTGTGTGGGATGGAAGTGATAGATCATCTGCGAAGTTCAAATCTTCCAATTGATTCTAAGATGTCCATTGTATTCTGTGCTTTCCATTAGATGTCGGGGTCTTCATAACCCAGTCGATAACCAGAAGAAAGAGAATTGGGGAGAGTAAGCAGCCTTGTCTGACTCCGGTCCTTTCTTGGAATGCATCTGTCAGCTGTCCTCCATTCACGACTTTGCAATGTAGTCCGTAGTAAGAATCCCTGATGATATTGACGATTTTCTCAAATACACCATAGTGTTGAAAAAGTTTCCATGAAGTCCTCCTATCCATACCGTAGAATGCTTTCTCATATTCAATGAAGTCGATGCAAAGTGACGAGTTCCATTCAACTGATTGTTCAATCCGACCAAACAAACTAGTAGCAGTTATTAGGATGTGGGATATTCCTTAATCTCTTAATTAAATTTCTCTTTTCATCTAGGTTGAGCAAGGTCGACTACTTATGAAAATAGGATGTTACAAAAGTGCTCTGGACATTTTTCTGTTATGGGACAAGTGGTCTGAAATAATCGAATGCTATATCCACCTAAATAAGAGGGAAAAAGTATGTTCTATTTTTTTCACTGAAGGTTTCTGTGTATTATTTATCCACTTTTTAAGATGATACTATATATTGGATAAGATCACTACCTTTGTGTATATTCTATGATATAACTCGGTCGGTTATCACAAATAATGACTTTAAATTATCTCATAACACAAGTAGTGACTCTGTCTTAAAATATCAATACCAACGTCGGACTTGATAATTTCAGATAAATTGCTAACTGTGTAGAATGTTAGTGTTAAAAGAATGGTATTTTTTGATATCCGAATGAGTAGCAGTTCGTGTCACTACTCAGACCAAAACATGGCACAAGTCCATGAAGTCACTGACAAGTGGACTGAGTCATGTTGGTAGGTGTAGACTACCTGGTTGGGGACCGCGTGATGATAGCAACCGATGGTTAGAGACCCTGAATGGCATGGCTCAAAATCATTCGCAATGGCGCAGGTGTATCCACTCTTTATGTTCTCCCAAATTCTAATCTTTTGAATTCTTCATGTCCCTTTCTTTTTTCTCTTTCCAAATTTATTTCACTGTATTATACTCCTTGAATAACATCTTCAAACCCTAACTTTTCTGATTACAGCTTATAATTTTACTACATCTATCACTACGGGATTTGAATCGACCACTGCATCTCTGTGCTAATGTGGTGTGGCAACTCGAACTGATGTACATACGTACGAAGTTCTACGTTGTTACTGACTGACTGACATTGGGATATCACAAATCTATCATTATTTTACTAATGAGTGTTTTGTTTCAGAAACATTAGCATTAGTAGTATACAGCCCACTACATGGAAAATGAATGGTAATTTATTACTGAAATAAACACAAATGAATTCAAAGTATTCTGACTGCAGCTTTTCGTGATTTCTACTTTGTGGAATATTTCAAAACCTGAGCTCATTCAGTCATCAAAAATGAAGCTCAATTAAAAGTGTTTAACAATATCATCACTCCATAGTAGAATATTGCGTTTATGTATTATGTAGATGTACTTATAGTCCAAAATAACATTTTCCTTCCAAAATTGTCTTCCCAAACTATATGCGTTTTGCTCATGAAGTAGATTAATTTTAGATTTTCTGTATCGGTAAACAGATAGTGCACCTGTATATTAGGATCTTCGATATATATACATTCAATGGTTGAGATCATGAGTCAGTTGGAGCTAGACCACCATAGAAAACCTGGGAGCACTGGACGGTCGTTTCATCTTATTGTGGGACTCCTCAGCGGCGTTCATCCACGATCCCGCTCCGCGAGATTCGGACCTGGACCTATCAGTCTCTCGCGCGAGAGCGCCGGCTCAGTGGTCTAGTGGTTGAACGCTTTAATTGACTCATGATCTCAACCATTGAAATGACTACAATATCCACAAAAACCCTTCTCATATTCATATTCGTTGGTTGTAAACTAAATGAACAGACTAAACAAAAATTACGGTTGCTATAAGACTTAAACTATTTAACATTACTTTGTTCTTTTTTATTTCCGGTCATGAATGCTGAAGAGATCTGTTAGATACTCTTTTCAGCCTTGTAGCTCAGTGTCAGGAGTATGAATAAATACATAATCCCTTATGATCTATCATATTCTTATTTTATTTAAACACATAAACATTGGGACATGGATGCAATAAATAGATATGGGCAACATAAATCATTCAATATGTGCGAGGGATGGAATACTGCCCAGGTACTCAAGTACCAAAGTAGATGGTTTTCTTGGAGGGCAATAGAACAACGTAAGGAGTCGCAGTCTCATGGTAACCGATGACAAACAATTGGTTCATACGCCACTTGTTTCTTTAGGATTCTGGAGCCCATGTTCACCATTGGTTTGGAATCAGTTTTCCAACTCCTCTAGGTGTGTCCTCCCTATCCACCAACCCGGTTAAGTCACCGGACATTCGCGTTTCGTTCTCTCGATTTCGTGAAAAAATCACCCCCCCCTCCGCGAAAAGGCGGTGGGTAGGACTCTCCTGGCAGTTGTTGTTATTCACGTGGCCATGTGAGCACATTTCTAGGGTGAGGGCTGACTCACTACTCTCAACTGCACAGGGGCATTCGGGGGTAAACTAATTGTAATGTAGATCATTTGTTCCCTTCTGGTTTTCAATCTCTTTAACAAATTCAGCACTCTATATTTGATGATCAAATTATACTGAGAAAAATCTTAGCTAGGTTACCAGATCACTTGCTTTGTTCTATTTGTCTGTAAGTTCTTGTCGCGCTGCGTTCTAAACTTTTTCCTCGGGGGTTCAGAAGTAATGAACTTTTTCGCCCATGTTCTGATGGTTACGACTCGCCATTTTTTGTGATTTTTCTTTATTCTGCGTGTTTACGGGAAGTTTTGTTTCCTGATCGCTTCTAAAATTTCATCTAACAATTGTCATCTTCCCATTTTCATTCTTTTAAATTTTCGACTTGTATACTCAAAATCACCACCCTCAGCCGTACTGGGGCATTTGGGAACTATAATTTATCAGGGTTTTCAGTTTTAAAACTAGTGCAACTGAATGAACTAAATATAACTAGTCACTTTGTATAACTTTGTCAGTATTTATATATGAACATTAAGGATATTATAATACTTCATACAGAAATCATTTAAGGTTGAAATAAATTCATCCCGTAATAATTATAGTAAAACAATTGATCTTTTGGAATTCCAATGATAGTTTTTACTTCAAACTATTCACTTGATTGTTGTCATTAATTTAATAAATATAACTGATATAATTTGTTGTTATTTATGGTTGAGCAGAATAATTATTTTGAGGTTAACATTTCAGTTACTGCCACAGTATCATTATATGTGACAATTTCTTTCATGAATTGGGAATGTAAAAATATTTCATTGTATTCGAATAGCGTTTTGATGAATCCATTCATGTATAGTATTTAAAAAATTGTTCACTAAATGTTTAATGTTTCTATAGTGAAAACGTCAGTTTTTGTCGTAGTGAAGGTTTATCCACGTTTTGTTCTATTTAATTGTAATTTCATGAATCATTTTACTTATTATTTGCTCATTATATATTTTCTTAACATAATCAGGCAGAAGAAGTGATTCGTTCTCGTCTAAATTCCGGAGATGAATCTGCTGAGTTATATTGTTCTCTTGGTGATGTGACAAATGATCGCCAACATTATTTAAAGGCTTGGGAAGTATCCGGTTGTAAGTCGGCTCGAGCAATGCGCAGCCTAGCTGTTACGTATATGTACACAGATAAAGTTTGTTTGGAATTTTCCATGCTATCAAATTAATTTCATTAACTTATGTAGGACTATCAAAAGGCGATTGAATGTTTTCAAAAATCACTAGAAATTAACACTATGCAAGTGAGTTCATTAGAAATCTATCATTTTTTATTTGTTTACTAACTCATTCTATTAGAATGAATTATCGTAAATTAAATGCTCGTAGTTATTTGTGGTAAAAATTCATATGTATTGACTTAGCTTGATGTATGGTCAACTACTTGTTCAAACTATTCAAAATTTTAATTATCACTAAGGGGTTATTAGGATTCTTGAACCTCATTGAAATCATGAACTAATCTAAGGTGATTGGTTGCCAGTTCAATGATCTGGCGGTTAGGCGTTTGTGCGCGAGCTTAGCTATCTTGAATTCGATTTCCGAGTGTGGGATCACGGATACGCACTTCTGAGTAGTGATATATTAGGACGAAACGGCCTTCTAATGCTTCTAGGTTCTCAATGGTTGTCCAGCCTAGATCGTTTCATGTCCTTAATCAAAATTTTAATGTTAACTTTACCTTTAATATCTAGTTGCTTAACTCTTACGATAATCTGTCAATGTATCTCTACGAGTTCATACTTATTTTACATTAATATGTTTTCTCGAAATTTGATAGACACTGAATTCTCATTTAATATCCTTTTCCTCTAAAGAATTTGCTTTGTTTTTACAAAGTTGGTTTTTATCAAGTTTCTGTATTTTAAGTTTTCCATATCGATCTTCCAGACTGCAATTTTGTATATATGACATGACGCAGGATTTTGAATCTTTGGTAATTAATGACTGTTATTGCAAACATAGTAATTTTGATTGGAACGTATGTTTTTTTTGACAGTCAAGGCGGAATCAACTAAAAAAAACAGTTCACAAGGAAGATCATTCTACTGCATATGCTTATCGTACTAGCCAATTTGTCAGTCTTTATTGAACAACAAATTACTTAAATATGTACTAGACTACTAACAGTTTATGAGTAGATCAAATTACTTATACTAAGTAATAAATTACTGAACAATCGGTTTTGCATTTTACCCCTTTGTAGTTTCCACTATGATCCCCATCCTAGAGACGCCACACGACTATCCAGTTTCTGTTAGTGAATGTTGAGTTCCTATTTATCACGATATCCGCAAAGACTTTATTCTGAATTCAAATTTTCACATGACCTTTGCTCTTTCCTGGTATGGCTTCGTCACTTTTAGTTTGCCTATATTCTCTGTCTCAAGGTCATGCTTTTGTTACCACATATACGAGGTTACTTAATTTCGTTATGTAATCCTTAAATATCAAGTTTTTTTCTTCGCTGTTGAAAACATTTGTGTACCAATTGTTTGTTTGAGTTCACGTATCAGGTATCAGAATCATCCCAGCTGTTATTGATAGTAACTACAATAGGCCCGGTCTAAACCCAGTCCTAATCGTTTATCGAGGTTTAACTGTGTTACGTTTGGAGTGATTACGATATCACCCTAACCGGTGTAAAGAACAAAAGTCAGCAACACAAACTGTTCACCTCGCCCCAACCCTAATTACTAGAGGGCGATGGTCAGATTCAGCTGAAGAAAATGCATATTCCAAAAGCAGCTCGATGCACGAACAAACAAGCACGCGACTGATGCGTATATATACAGTACAAAAATGTCCTTGTAAAACGTCGTAAAATAGTGTACTAAAAAAAGAGACGAACCAATGACGTTTAAAGTCTTCTCAAGTGTGAAATACAAACGGGAAGTAAAAGTGGTCGCTTTTGGCACGAAAATGAAAAATTCAAATTGAATTCAAGTTAAATTACAAAAATAAGGCATGTACCAAGTGATATCTGAGGATCTAGCGTCCTCAACAAACTGGAGAAAAAAGATTATTCAAATAAACAAATTTTCAGCAATTTCGCTTGAATATCTTTATGTTATAGACATACTTAGGGAAGGGAACTAGTTCACTACTGCCAGTATGAAAAATGTTTTCTTTTATCAATATTATTTTATCTACTAATCTGGATATTTTTGATAAAATCATATTACTAATTGAATTACCTAAATATAACCTAATAGTCTAATTTATCATACGGATTTTCATAGGTTAATGTATGGTTTACGTTTGGATGTTGTTGTCTTCAAGCCAAGGATTTTGTAAAAGCTGAAAATGCTTTTCGTTCATGTGTTCGTTTAGATCCAGATGTAAGTTCTACATTTTTCTAATTCATCGGATATTATTGTGTATTATACAATTTATTTAAGGCCATCAACTGACCTAGTAGTTACTTACCTCAATTAACTGAAATTAATCGTATATATGTGAAGATTATTCACTTACGATTTATGCAGTTCTATTTTCTCTACAATAACTCAAACATTTTTGCTTATTGTATTTACTAAATACATTTAATTTCTCAGTACCCTTTTTAAAATAATGACATTTCGCATACATCAACTCGGTCTTAAATAAAGCGGGAAATTAGATACTGTTATGATTATTAGATTAAGGTATGTCCGTTAATAAATACTTTTAACAATATTTCATGATTGAAATTAAATTTCAATTTAACATGAAAAGATTTTATGGGAATATACCTCTGTAATCAGTTAGCTTTTGTGTGTCACTGCTACAAATTACATTTTATCTTGTAATTTTGTCTGTATACGTTAGTCTGGTTCAAATTTATTGTGTAAAGTCTAGCGAAACTACTTGATTACTTTGAATGGAGTTCTTTTCGAACTTGGTTGAAACTCGGGTACTCTAACCATCAAATCGATGCTTCATGTCTAGAAATTTGCTTAGGATATTTATATAATGATTTTTGTAGTAAATATAATAAACATGATGATGTTCACCCCAAGGCATCAACACTGGGATCCAGGTATGTCCAGCTGAAGGGTCCTCAATAGGATCGAACGCGCGTTCTGGATAACATTGTTAGTCACCATCCATCTTCGCTTATGATACCAAATATTTAGGCACAAAATATTCAACCCGAATGGTATGATTCACTAATCAGAAAGCACATTTCTTGTTTAAACAGTAATTGTTTTGATTATCGATAGAGGGGTTACCACTCACTAAGATTGACATATATTTAATTGACGTATCTATTATCTAACTTTATTGCTATTGTTTCAAAACCACTCCCAAATGCCCTGGTACGACCGAGAGTGAGGAGAGTTCGCTCTCACAAATACTTTGTTCTTTCACTGAAAATAAGAAAAGACGAGAATGCCAAGATAATAATTTATTCGATTGTTTGGGTAAATATTAGGTTGAGAAATTATGCGCAGAATAATGGTGCGAAATAAGTTTCATTACATATTCCTCCATTACATCTCAAGCCCCTACAACACGGAGTTTTCTCTCCACATGGTTCACCAAAGTGTCGCCCGTGACATTGCCCACGGTCACATTTGTACTCATCTTCGCAATCGTCATCTTTCCCGCAATATTCACACACTGTCCTACATTTATCTGAAAGCAAGCAACCAAAATATCACATCATTATGTGATCAAGAGCATTTCTGTTGAGCTAAAAACAACCATTAAGTGAAAGCATGTTCTTTAATTACTAAGAAATATACAAGTATGAATCACGCAGTCGAGATGCTGTAAGGCGATTTGAGATTACTTACCTGGCGGGAAAGAATATTTTTTACACTCTCTTTCAAGTGATTTGGTGAAGAGAGATAGGAATAGAATGGTCGAGCACAAAAACAGTGTATTCATGCTACTTTGTGTTCCACTATTTTATGTCTCGGACCTTTTGTTTATATACTATTGAACAGACGACAAACCATTTATGAGAGTCACGTTCGTCAACTACTTGTCATCACATGGTTTTCCGGTAATCTGATAAAGTGTATATACCTCGTGTTTCCAGCCATGTCCGAAGTCAGTACATATTTAATGAGATTAGTCAGCTTTGAAAATTAAGAAGAATTTCACAATTTAAAAAGTTCATAAGTAAAGACTTTAGTAGAACAGCATGAACTAGCCTTGTTAAATTAGGTGGTCGTCAGTTATTAACAACAAATGATATTTCAAAGAACAGAAGTGGCCCATTGAGCCACTGAAGACGAATGAAGGATGATTAACTAGAGAGATATTTCTTTTGAACTCTGTCATTTAATTAGGCTGCATAGTTTTCAAAATGAAACCACAGGTGGAGTTGAACGTCAACACTAACATGAATCAACATGAATATGCTTCAGAGTGTTAAGGCAATGAAGAAACTATCACTTGCATTAATTTCATTTTTTGTTATTATGACCAAAAGCCATACCATTATGGTGACATATTAGCATTTCGACTTTAGAGAGATGGGATGAATAATTTCGTTTCTGAAATGCTCCAGTTGTATTATTAACATTTAGAGTTCATTATTATATATGACCTTATCATTAACCAGTTAGGAGTGTTATTTGGATGTTGACGAACTTAAGATTCCTATCTTGCCGTAAACACCGTGTAGAGTTATCCAGCGACCCGAACCCCTCAAATGCCCTGATACGACCGAGAGTAGGGAGAGTTCGCTCTCCCTCTCGAAATGCTCTCACATGGCCACGCGTATATAGGCTCTGCCAGAGAAATCCTACTCACTGCCTTCTCGTGTCCGGGTTTTTCTTCCACGAAATTGTGAGAGTGAAAAGCGAAACTCCGGCTCTTTAACCGGTTTGGTGGACACGTAGGGTCCACCTAGGGAAGTTGGAAAACCCTGATTCTAAACCAATGATGCACATGGGCTCCAGTATCCTGAGAGAACAAATGGTGTATGAACCAATTGTTGGTCAGCGGCTACCATGGGACTGCATCTCCTGACGTTGCTCCACTGCCTTGTGGATCAGACCTTTAGTTTGAGGGCTCTGTGTGTGGTCTTCTAAGAAAACTACCTTTTTCGGTTGGGGCACCCGGGCAGTATCACCGCTCTCGCACATGTCATATGAGATTTATGTGGCACATATGTACGTGGTGCCTCCTTGTACCACAGTCTTTGTTTTCAAATAATAATAATAATAATAATAATAATAATAATAATAATAGTTTCAAAACTGGCCACTATCAAATAAAATTTTGAATGTGTTTTTGTAGTGTATCAAAGTGTTTATACGCAAAGGGCAACACAATTTACGTTTGATAATTTTGATTTAGAAAATAAACACTAGAAATTGGCGTAGTTTAGGTAATAATCACGCTGTCTTTTTGTTAAAATAGTTGATAAAAACTTGCTTTTTACTTGTGAATAGTCGTTGGCAAGTGTTTTTTCGTGATTTCAGAATTTTGAAGCCTGGAATAATTGTGCGACTGCTGTCCTGATTCAAGGAAAAAAGTACGTCTTACGTTTTAGATAGTGTTCATTATACTCCTCGACTATTGAAGCGCCCTGTGTAAATTTGGTATAGTATTCAGTTTTATGGTTTCTGATTTCATTACAAAATGTAACATCACTTCTAATATCATTTTTAGTCATGTATCCTGTATAAAGGTTTGATTGTATAAGTAATCGTTTTTATTACATAATAAAAAACTATCTTTTGAATAGTTCCTTGTAGAATGAGTAAAATTTTATGTCCTGTAATGTGTCGTGTGCTTTTGAAGCTTGTTAATGAATACTACCCATTTCACAGACTACGTATATATTGATTACATTTTTTTCATTTCTTCATAGGAATATAGCATTAAAACTAATGAAAGAAGCTTGTAAATATAGTTACGAAAACTGGCGCATTTGGGAAAATATTCTGTTGGTGAGTTTATTGATTTTCGGTTCTAATTATATTTATTGTTGTTTTATACTACTTTTCAACCTTTTTTTACTGATAAATCTTAGTATTTAATAATTGCTTTCATTAAATAGATTAAACTATTTGAGTTTTCAGTATGGGGTTGTAGAGATTGTTGAATTTCATCTAAATCATGAACCAATCTAACTTGAACCACCAATGATAATCCGGTCGCACTGGCCGGCCGTTTCGTCCCAATACGGGGTTCCTCAGCACTGCGCGTCCGTGACATTACATGAAGACTGAACCCAGAATCATCCTTCTCACGCACAAAAGTTTGGTCTTTAGACCGCCGACTTAGCATCCGGCGGTGTTGATGTCTAACTTCAATCAATACACGACCATCTTCCATTGTCTTTGGTGGTTAACTGCCTCACACTCGAAATGATTTAGCTCGATTGTTCACGGCTTCTCACTGGGACTTACCCTCGAAGCTAATTACTAGTGCGCACATGATAATTTTCATTATGGGGTTTTGGACATTGTTGAGTCTCATTGAAATCATAAACCGATCCAAGTTGGTTGGTTGCCAGTTCAGTGCTCTGGCGGTTAGGCCTTCGTGCGTCAGCTCGGCTATCTTGAATTTGATTCCCGAGTGTGGGATCACGGATGCGCACTTCTGAGTAGTGATATATTAGGACGAAACGGCCTTCCAATGCTTCTAGGTTCTCAATGGTTGTCCAGCTTAGATCATCTAATGATTTCAATGACGTTCGTGTTGTAATCGATTAATTAGTTTGATTTATTTAAGAAATGTGTACTTATATATTACGAAATGCAGTATCAACCTGTTTATATTGATTGATTCCAAAAGACTTTGAATTACTGATTCCACAAACTACCTAATTGTATATAGAAAACAAAATAAAGAAATCTCATCGTATTAATTTCGTGTTAAATATTTGACTTTTAATTGTACATATATGTGTCCATTAGGACAGTCTACTCTTAATACCTTTTTCCGTTGCATGGAATGGTCGAGGGTAGTATATATTGTTTGTTTTTGGTGCTGGTTGTGCAAGAATGTTAAATTGGCTACTACTTCAGACTTGAATTCAACATTGTTTCATTTATTTTCTCTTGCCTATTTGTTGAATATATAATCGTGTCGTTACCGATTTTGTTATATAGTGATTTTATATTTCTTCTTCCAATTAAATTCATTAAAGATTAGTGCTGATGTAAAAGCATTTCATGAAACTATGCATGCCTATCATCGCCTATTAGATTTACAAGGAAAGTATGCGAATCCACAAGTTCTCAGTGTTATGGTTAAAGGTGTTGTTTTAAATGAAATGGATTCTACAGGAAACCCTGTAAGTAATTTACGTGCCAGGCTGCTTGAATTGTTTGGTCGAGTTACAGCATCTGTAAGTTTTACACTTAGTTATGTTAGCTCAATGTATAATTTGAGCGTATGATAATATAATACATGTTCTAGTTACTGTCAATCTTGTGATAATTAATTAATCATTTGATAATACATTAAGAGATTTGAGATTTTCTGAAAGTTGTGTCATTTTCTACAGTTTTCTCACAGTGAAAATACTGGGAACTATCCCTAATAGAATGAAATGAGATGGTTACGTAAAAGCAGTGTTATGAAATATTATTTTCACCATAAATGTTATAACTATAAACTAGTGGTACTACCTAGTTGTCCAAACTCTAAGTATGTGAAGAATCGAATCTTCAACCTGGTGGCCAAAAGTCAAATGCTTTGACTGTCGGAAAACTCGACTAAAATTGCCTGGAGTTGGTGTTATTCAATTAACGATGTTCGAAATTTCAAATGACGCGATAAAACTTATTTATAGTCACCATTACAAAAAATTATGGTAAATACTTATGCAATTTTCATCATAGTCATGCAAATTCTGTTGTTATTTCTTTATTCAAAAATTGTTTTATTAACCACTAGACTCCTAACGATGCTGTTATATGGAATGAATATGCACATCTTCTGGTTGATGAACTTCCTCAAATGACTTATACTACATATCAACGTGTAAGTTAGATTGATTTTCTAGAACATTTACCCTTGTTTAATATGATGATATTCATTTTTTAGGCTAACTCTATCGAAATTTGAATTTCCACCTAAATTGTACAAACTGTCACTCGTTTGGTAATAATGTAACACACTTTTTTTTTAGATCGTCGCTTACTTTTGAGTCAAATCATCTGCCTTTGCGAAATTAAAGGTGTTGATTATGAACAACACAAATGGATGGTAGATACTGTATTAGGAATTAATTCTTATGATTTTTGTTACAACACACTAAAGAATGTAGTAATACTACTTCATAACAAAGGCTTAGTTATAGTGAAGTTGGATTGTGGCTAATGATAAAACTAATGATATCTTTTTCTTCCTATTTGGGACTTATCAGCTGGAATATACATGAATCTCTATTAATGTCCACACAGATTTCAATCTTTCGCTTTGCGTTTCAAATCCCAACTACCTAGTCCGTATGGGATGAAACCCTCATCTTGAATACCACTGGTGTCCACAGTCCAACTTCACTGTAACTTGTACTTAAAGACAATTCACTCACAATGCACATATGCCAATAGAGTTCAATCGTTAGTATCATCGACAGAAAATCCCAAAATCATACATATTTTAAAATTATAGAGAATCATTGTTTTTATTTACCTTTAAAAATTCTCAGTGACTGAAATCTTTCTGCCATAGATGAATTATCACAGTGACTATCTAGACCTTTAGTGATTTTTATTTTTGATTCTTATAAGTTATCAGTATTTTCTCTTATTTCTAGGATACTAGAATAAAGCAAAATATGAAGTATTTTAAGTAAACATATGCTGATACGATATTAAGTTTAACTTATCACTCATGTTGTAAGACGACTAAAATAATAATGAACTTTTACATTATAATTAGATTTTCTTTTTTTAATGCATTACTAGGCTGTCCACTGTCTTCAAGCAGCTCATCGTTGTCGTATACAACCGAGTGAAGGACCATGGGAACAATCAACAAAGAAATGTGAAGCTATTATTGATGGTTTAAAAGCTTTACTTGATTTATTAAATAATCCTCCGAAATCGAAAAATGATAATGAATCTAACGAAGAAGATCAACTTAATACCTTCATTCAATCAACCTTGGCCACTCTTCGAATAAGCTTAAAATCTGTAATTTCTAAATTGAAGGTAAGCTTTTTTTCCAGCCTATATTACATAATGCAGTCTATAGTATTGACTTATTGCCTACCGGTGTTTTATAAATTGCGAATTAATTTTATTCATACAGCTTTAATATGTATATGTACATAATAAGTATTTACTTCTTTCCATAATATTCCACGAGTTTTAAAGCATTCACTTTCATGAACTCCTAGTTCATCTGCGTTTTGCTCTTAGTCATACTTTATTCCATTCATTCTGTGTTACTTCAATTAGAATTTTTAAAAATACCTCCGGACCTCATTAACAGTAAAGCTTTTAGAATACTAACATTTGTTTGTGGTTATTTCGTTACATTTCTATTTCTGCTAATGTCAATTTTAATTGTGGTTTGTAAATTCATCCCTATAAATTGAATCTTTACAGTTTATTGCTTTCATGATTTCTAGATTGCTGAAGAATCTATTCTTTCCATCGATGTTCAAGATATGATTCGTTCCTCACTTAAAGATTTAAATGAATTATTAATTGATGTTGAAAAAAAATTAAACTAAACTCTTACATTGTATATGCTTTTTTATCGACTATCGTAATATGAATAAAAGTTTGAATTAAACTTTGATTCTTTTGATTTACTAAGTTCTATGTGTATATGACTTCATAATTGCGTGGGTTTGTACATGTAGTTCTGTTGTTTGCAATATCTGTCTAGAATTATAAATTCCCTTAATATCCTGTGGTTTCATTTATATTGTTTCTGTTAGCCTCGTGATAGTTTAAAAATGACATTAGATTTTCTTGCTGATACACTAAATGTTATGTGCCATATTAGATGTATTGTCACTTGCTTTTTTGAAGTTGTAAGCTGACACTATGAGTATATCTTTGCGTATTACCTGTTGTTTGATAATTATAGTGTATTAAGGATGCGGAAAGGACTCTATGAAAAATAGTTTTCAGTATACACTTAACAAATATATCCGCTAAATTTGTTTAATATTGAACTTTTCTCAGCAGATTAAAATTACTTTGTGGATAAACTGTATTGATTGTCTGAATAATGACTTCGGTATTGCAGGGCGACACAATCTAATCACTGACTTCAATTGTTTATTCGAAGTGGACGAGTGACAGACTTCATATTAGTGTATAATATTGTGGTTTAAGCGCGTTATTCTTCAAAAATCGGTTTCCTTAGCACGATATGATGTGGAAACTAACGTTAAACGCTAGCGATTATTTATTGCTATGGCTTCTTCTATACTTCTTCAATTCTCTTTTTACGTTTGACTGAAAACTAAAATATGTTAATTATTTGATACAGCTGATTAATCTGAATTATTAGTAGTTTTGTTGAAATAGACAATACAGAGGCATATAGTTCATTGATTTATATGGGGAAACTTGTGCAACTTCTGATATGCTTTTAGCACCAAAATTTTATAACTAGACTGGTCTGTATCATCGTGTATTGTCGTTACAGAATCTACAATTGGCAAATTTGTTAACCGTTTCATCCTGTCTAGTAATTATATGTAGCTTATGTTTCAGATTGTTTGAGTCTCGGTTATGGTAGACGTAGTTAACATTCTACAATGCACAAATTATTCTAGGTATGTACAAAAAGTTGAATATATACCGTCATTACTTTTAGCTTTATGATTTAAATATGTCTACTAATATAATACATCACCTTTTCAAAATATGACCATGATCGTCTTCATTCCATGAAACTACCACATCAGTAATGCCCACTGATAGGTTCTTAATACGCTTATCATGGTGTCCAATGTTCATTTTTCATAATAATATGTATTGTAGATTCACTTGATAGAGATATTTTTATTTTTAATGAACAATTTTCAACTAGGATGATTTTCGAGTCATAAACGTTGATATTTTATTCACCAGTAAAAATTAATAGAGACCTTATATCTGGAAAAAATATAGTTTTCACTTAGGGGTCATTTATTATCTTAGTTTTTACCCGTCAATTAATATTTGCATCTCAAAACAGACCACATTATTGATCATTATCATTACTATTATAAAACCTGCCAACGTTTTTGGGAAATTTATCCAGCATCCACTCCTACCTACTAATTTCTAATCAATTCATATTATCCCACATATTACGCAATTTCTACTGGTAACGGCTTCTCACTAGAACTCCAGGAAATGCCTCTTGAAGTCAGTCACTAGTCAGCAGATCGTGGATGCGCACTGCTGTGGAGTCCCATACTAGGACGAAACGGCCGTCCAGTGCTTCCAGGTTTTCCATGGTTGTCTAGCTTCAACTGACTCATAATTTCAACTATTGAAAATCCTTGGATTATTAATTTGGATATATAATTGTGGAACCTGAGGAGAAATTATTAAAAAGAATATTCTTCGTTCCTATATGTGTTTTAATATGATGGGCATTTCTCAGCAACTTAAGGTTCATTTTGTGCATTTTTCAACTTCTCAGTCAGTCAGTCATCTACAACGTAGGACCAGGCACATATATGCATCGGTCCAGGTTGCCATACCTCGTTAGCACAGCAAGATGAACACCGGATTCATGGGAGTGTTTAGGTTAAAGGTGGTAATATATAGGAGAAAGATTGCATATAAGGATACAGTACCGGAATATAGAATTAGTTTGTAGAAAGAAAGATATGAAGCGATTTTAATCTCTTAGTTTAAGGGAAGACAGGGAGTGTATGCACCGACGCCATTGTGATCGATTCTGAGCCTTGTCACCAAGAGTCTCCAACCATCGGTTACGAAAGTCACGCGGACCCCAACCAAGTAATCTGCATCTACCAACATGGCTCAGATTGGAGGTTAGTGTCTTCAAGCACTGATGCCACGTTTTGGTTTGGCCGCCCCTAATTCTCTTCCAACCATCTCTAACACCCGTTAGCATTGCACGTCGTGGTAATCGGTGTTCAGGCACACGTAACACGTGGCCCAACCATCTCAGTCGATGAAGATTAACAACCTCATCAACTGATTTACCATCATTACCTAATACCCTGCCCTTCCTCGTTTCAGATTAACTATAGCCTTTTGAACTTCTGCTAGAGTTGGGGGACCTACTTCAATGTTCCATTCACACTGTCTGGGAATGGACGGTAGTTGTATAGTCGCTGAAGGCCAGCTGAACTGTTCCTAAAGTGTTCCGCCCATCGTTCTAAACGTCTGGACTGGGAGTAGATGAGAGTATCGTCTTTTTCCGATATAATCTCACTTACACTTGACTTATTAATTCCAGTTTCTTTTATTAGTCTGTAAAGCTGTCTTGTGTTCCATATAGCCGCCGCCTTTTCCATCTCTTTTGCTTTCGTTGCCCACCACTGCTCACGGTCGTTTCTTAGACTTTTTCTTAACCTAGATCTGATTTGTTGTCGCTCTTCATCATATTCGGAACCTGATGGGACGAGTTTGCGAGAATCCATCAGTGTGATAGACTTTGAAGAAATCCACTGGTTCTTTGTAACTGTGGGTTAAGTCACTAATAGATTTCATTGCTGTTTCCACAGCTGTTTGTATATCTTCCCAAGCAAAATCTGGGTCAGCCTCGTTTTCAGAACTACCTAAGTGTGACCTCAGTTGTTCCTGGAACCTACTTTTAGTTTTCTCGTTACTCAACTCAGTTCTAACGGGTCTTTTTAATGTGGCTTTTTTGCGTCCAGTGAGGCGCAAGCAGATGCGTGCCTGTATTAGGGCATGGTCAGAGTTCAAGCAGGTACTCCAGAATGAGCGACTATCTTCTACCGACCCTCTCCAACGATGACTGATGGCAGTATGGTCTATTTGAGTCCATCGTTGGTTTGGTGTAGGGGGTCGCCATGTTAGACGATGTCTCTCCTTATGCTTAAAATTTGTGTTTGCTAAAAATAAACGATTGTCTGAGCATAGTTGCAGCAGGCGATCACCATTATCTGTTCGTTGTGCCGGTATACTAAAATACCCACCTAAATGCCTTTCTGTTTGGTTTAAACTGCCTATCTGGGCATTAAAGTCATCTGCTACGAGTACTATGTCTGAACGTTTAGCTTTCTGAAGAAGTTCAGATAGCTTTCTGTAAAATTCATCCTTCACTTCATTTGAGATGCAGTCGGTGGGAGCGTAGGCAGAAACGACAAAAAGGCAATGATTAGAAGTTTCCAACTTCTAATCATTTAACATCTTCAGTTTCCTAGTCATTAAAACCTTAAGGTGTTTGAATTCATTGTGTAACAACGTACACAAAGACTTGCCAAAATTGAACCTAAAGTGCCTTCCCTTATTTACCAAGTTTGAAATTCATTGTCTAGAGACTACATGAGACTATTGGTTGTAAAACTTGATAACTAATGTTTATAAACGTAATTAAATATCCTTTGTTGACCTAGAACGTCTATGCATGTACTCCTATATTGTGCAATATCATATCTTGATTATATCTGGAATGATGTTGAGATGAAATTCAGGACGAATGTTTCTTTTTCGATTCTAGTCTGGATGATAACAACACGATAATCATTCAGTACTACATGGTTAATACAATATCGAATTCCTAACGTACAATATCTCAATTATTTCCCTTTATTATTCATAGACTTCCCACAATATATGTATATACATGGTTAAAATAAGGAAAATGCAGTTCATTTGTTGTGAGAACTAATTAATCTTAACAACTTTTTCGTCGTTTAGTTTATGTTCTATATTGTAGAGCTCTTAAACTCTTCCTTGTGTGTACAGATTTTAATGTACTATTGTCTAGTTTTACGAGAAGGGGTGTGGCCCCCTAAGAAAACCACCTGCTTCGGTCTGGGTACCCGGGCAGTATCACAGCCCTCACACATATCAAATGAGATTTGTGTGGCGCATATGTATTTGGTGCCTCCTTGTATCAATATCTATGTGTTAAAATAAATAAAAATAATACAACGGAAAACATAGGAATGGAGAGTGGATGGTTCGTGTCTGATAGGATGTTACATGCAGTTCTTTACAGGGTTTAAAATATCTATTGACAACTGTATTCATAACAACCTCAGAAGATTCACCATGTACTCCACGATCAGCCTACATCGCACCATAATCTTTTCTCAGAAATCTAGCAAAGAATAATGGGGAACGGTATATATTATTTGATAATACACAGTAATTTGCAAATCGCCAAAGTATTGAGTAATCCCAAAACCATCTAGCCTATTGTGATAAGTTAGGTTAAGAACTTATGTCAATGTTAACGAAGCACAGGAAGGCCAAGAGATATCTGAAATAAAACCTATGAAATGCTACAGTTTTTACCATATAATCTCGAGTAGTACAAATACTATGTTATTATAGTAGGATATGTATATCCTTTTCATTACTTGGTCTGAAGTTAACAGCTTGATATTTAGAAAGATTAAATGTAAGACATCAAAACAGACCGTATTTCAGAATTGGCTGATAGCTCATTGATTTTTAGGGAATTCGAAGAGGAAGAAATTCCCATACATAGACTAAGTTTGTTTGCATTTTTAATAAAATGGTTTTTCTAGAAAATGAAAGGTTGTCCAAGGAAAGCGAAATTAAGGCTCCTTGAGATATCCCAACTTCTTTAATAATGCTATGGAACATTTTTCTTCA